ATGGTGATTTCTCAGAAAATTATGAAACAACTTTCCTCAAGACCCAACAATACCACTTTTGGGTATATACTCAAAGGATGCTCAATTGTACCACAAAAACATGTGCTCAGCTAATTCATAGCAGCATTGTTGGTCATAGCCAGAACCTGGAAACAACCTAAATGTCCCTCAACCGAAGAATGGATAAAGAAAATGTGGTACATTTACACAATGGAGTACTACACAGCTGAAAAAAATAATGACATCTTGAAATTTTCAGGCAAAAGGATGGAGCTAGAAAACATCATATTAAGTGAGGTAACTAGACCTAGAAAGACAAATATTAAATGTACTCATTCATAAGTGGTTTTAGACATAAAGCAAAGAAAACCAGCCTACAATCCCAAAGGACAAGATCTCTTAAGGAAATTGGGAGTATGGGGATCATGGGAGAGGGTTGAATGGGAGGGGAGAGGAAGGAAGGGTAGCAGACAAAAATGTAGAGTTCAATAAAAATCAATTAAGATAAAAGAAAAAAATATAAGGCAACAAGCTAAACACATTGGTAAAAATATTTTAATTCATTACATTTTTGTCCTAGTGACTTGAGACTAATAACTAAAGAATTTACTAATCAATAAAAGTAAAAAGAAACTGGAACTGCTACAGTGTCTGCCCTCCCTCCCTTCCTCCCTTTCTTCCTGCTTACATTTGATGGGATTGGGGGCAGAAGAGGATACAGAATTGAGAGATAGGATAGATCAGGAACATGTACTGAGAGATGAGGATTCTCATTAATTGTACCAAGTTTAAGGCCAGACATCTGATAAGATCACAGGAAAAGTACACAGACAGGAAGAATCTTAACGCAGAAAGTGGCTGACCTACGGGTCTGACCTCACTTCCTGTGACTTCAGTCTATACATCGTAACCGCTCAAGAATAAGATCCTATAAGGGCAAATGTGGCTTCACAACCCTAGCCTTCCTGTACGCTTGACACTGGCCAGCCCCGCCTTCACAAGCACTTAATAGGAAGGAGGGGAGCACGAAGTAAGGGAAGCAGATGGGTGCTGGTGTCACAACCCAAGCTGCTGCTAAAAACAAAGTTAATGCAAAAGTCCTGATTTTTTTAAAATTTGTGTGTGTGTGTGTGTGTGTGTGTGTGTGTAGGCATATGGGTGTGGGTACCAACCAAGAAAGAAGCAGGCATGAGACTCCCTGGAGCTGGATTTAGAGATGGTTCTGAGCTGCCCTCGTGGATGCTGAGGTCTGAACTCTGGTCTCCTGCAAGAGGAGCAAACATTCTCAGCCTAACCGTTGAGCCACCTCTCCAGCTCCAAAGGTTCAGATCTTAACATAAGCTTAAAAGATGTGACCATCTGTGAGTCTATGATTTGACTGAATGATGGGCTCAAAGCAGGACATACAGGCTATCAGCCCAGAGTGTAGGGTGCTGTGCAGGAAGGATGGGGCAGTTTTATGTCCTCGGATTTCACTGGCTCATTAAAAAATAAAATAATGTATATTTTTAAGCCTTACTCCAGATTGAACAACTGGAGATCAAGCATAAACTTCATTTTATAAGTTTCCCACAAAAGCATGAATGAGTCAGCCTTCAACTGTCACCTACTCCTGGCTGCTCTCAGTTGCATGAGAGCAGCTTGGATCCCCTTGGTCTACCCTTGGAACCCTGGTGCTGTCATTTGTTTTCTAAGTTGTTTTGGAAAGGTGCACCCAGGTCCCCTGATTCTCAAAGTTTCAAGGTAAGGGGTCTCTTGCACACAGAATGAGATGTTTATATTATGCTGACACCCCTTGCCTTGTCATTATAAACATCACTCCATTATTTTGTGTATCTGGGAGAAAATACAGATGAATGCACACAATGGCTACATACAATTGCTCATTTTGTCTCAATTAGATTCTGGCTTGGGAATAATGTCCCAGGTTTGGTCACACACAGGGTAGATGCAAAAAGCTGACACCATGGCTAGGATCTCCTGACAGCAGTGGCTTTGGAGGCCTCCCTCTGCCTCTCCCGCACTGCACCGGCCTTTCTGTTTTCCTCAGAGAAGACCTTCAGTTCACCTGGGTATCTGCCACCTTCTGTCCTCATGGGCCTGCTCTGCCTCACTCCTGAGAAAGCTCTGGGTTGCAACAGTCCCCCCTGCTGGGTGGCATGCTGCTGCCAGCCCGGGAAAGGGCACACCATTTCTTCCCATGCCTCGCAGCATCATTGCTGGCGTGCTGTTTTGGTGAGGTACATCACCATGGAGACTGCTCTGAAGATATGCATATTTACCTGTGCTTTATTATACCCACACTATTTTCTGATTCTTTCCCGTCTCCACAAACTGGCTTAAGATATATTTGGGCGTCCTTTATGCCATCTTGAAATTGAATAGCCAATTCTTACAGTAATGAAAATACTTACGCGGCAGCCTAGTGATATACAATGCTACACTCTAATTACAGCTGCGCTTTAATTAACCTGAATTGAAGAGTGTTATCATTAAACTGCTGGTAACGTTGAGTTATGGCTTTTCTTTAATTTAAAGTAGAAAACACAGATAATTAAGCCTCAAGATAATCAAATGCTTGAAGAGAGCTTCAATGTTTTGGGTTGTTCCTAAATCTCATTAAATGTCCTTTCTTTATTGATTGGTTCCACCTCTGCCGAATTGCTGCATTAAAGGAATAATAGCACCAGGCTGAACACATTCTCACTCACATCAGAGGTTTTTTTTTTTTCATTCAAAAGCTTTACTGAACAAATACTAAATTCACTGACAACGAGGTACGTCTAAGAGATCTTTTCCCTCATTAGAGCATGCTCTAAAGACGAAAATCAATCAAGGGAAATAGTTCATATTTACTCGTGCCTTGCCTGACAGGAGAGCACCCTCGGAAGCTGTCTGGGCACACCTAGCTTTCCCACCTCCTCTTCCTCTGCCACAGGGAAAAAAAGTCAGTCCTTTTAAAGATGACAGGCGAGGACGGCTCCCCCTAGAGGCTGTAGGTGGGTGACGCAGCTGCTATTTGCCTGACTCCTGAGCTGGCACTAAAGGCTGAAGGAGTTCCGTGGCTGAAAGATGGTAGAGCTGACCTGGGCTGTTAGTGTCACTCTAAGCTGACTTAGAGAAAGTTTACACCGCCCTTTCATTAAAGCAAGTGGAAGCCAGAAACATGGATCCGGTGTGGCCAACTCTGATTTTAAAGAGAGTTCGGAGATCCAGGTTTTGCTTTGTTTGGTTTTGTGAAATAACGTGGTCCAGAAATACCAGCAACGAGCCGTGAGCAAATTAAAGAATACCAAGTCCCTGGGTCCAGTGCTACCCCAGTTATAACCTCTTAGGGGGACAATCCTCACCCTTAGTCTTTAAAAGAACTGACTTTTTCCCCCAGCGGAAAAGGAAGAAAAAGGTCAAAAGCTGCAAGAGCCAGACAGCTTCCCTGGGAGTGCTCCTGGCAGGTGCAACATCAGTTAAACTGGGAAAAATCAGTGGCCCAGTAAAAGAGCTTCGGAACTTCCCAGCTGGCATCTGGAACATCAGGGCCCCACTCTGCTGACAATTCTGCCTTGATGACCTGACCACCCCTGTACTGACCCTAGAGGGCTTCAAGGGCACTCTTAAAGAGCCCTGGTGTGTTCCCTGGATATTCTGACTTCTCTAGACTGCCTATCCAAAGCAGGCTGAGCTACAGGGATGACATCCTCCCAGCATCTCGGAACCGTTAACTTCCAAAGAGACATTGCTCGCAGGGAAAGGTGCTCACGGGAGTTACACCAGGGTTTCCATTTCCAGAAAAGAACTCCTTCCGAATCAATTACCTATTCACTTTTCCAGTTCATTTAGCATCTAAACTATCACTTAGGGACAGGGCAAGAAATTTCTGTAAACAACCAAACCATTTTGAAGTGCTTGGGGGTTTGGGCCTGGAGACTGGCAGAGAACACCTGCCGTGCTCCCTGGCAGGAGTCCCCACCCCTCCCTTCTGCATACAAAGCAGAACAGGAGTCCCAAAGACCCTGGATTTCCTTTACTATGAAGGGCTCTCAGTTTTGACTCAGCACCACTAGATTTCCAGCTCTAGAATTCCAGGTGATAGGCTTGGCTAGTAAGGGGCCCTTTCTCCCTCAGCCTGGATTCACCTGTTTCTTCCCAGTTTTCATCAGTGAGACCATTTATTGACCTTTGCTACGGAGTCAGATACTAGTAGGTCAGGCTTAGAGGTCCACCGCTTTCAGAGTATGTGGGGAACATGACCCTTGTTTGATATTATTTCAGTCGAGAGAGTCTAAGTGGTGAGTCTGGGGGTACTGTTGTGCCTCAAGGTGGACACCTGGAATTCCTGATCTTCCAGGGGTTCAGGGTATGACCTACTGCAGGTGCCCTGGGAATCAGTTCCGAGTCATGCTATTTGAGCCTGGCAGCTGTGTGCAGGACCTTTTCAAGGACCTTCTGTGCACTTGGCAGCATAGTTCCTCCGTAAATAGCAAAAGCACTTTGGATGTCTATATATTAAGGACTTAATTAGAAGGGAGATTAAAATTCCTTTGTCCTGAAACAGGCAAGATTAGACTTTTCTCTGTATTAAAAGCAGATAGGTGCTGACGGTAAAGCCCTGGGTTCAAACTTTAGCACCACAAATAAATAGAAAACTAAATAAACAAAACGAAGTAAACCAAGGGCCACCTGAGTTCACGCCACCTTTCCGAGACTTTCATCTCATAGTGGGGTTACAGAAGATGTACAGGCGAGCTGCACAAACTCTAAGTTTGTACAAATCAGGGCTTCAATCTCAAGATTTTTGGACCTAGAGGATAAATAAGAGCCAGCGTAGCACTAGAAGGCAGGACCTTGTCAGGACCTGCTTTCCTGTCCACAGACACGCAGGCCTGAGAGCAGAGGAGCCCTCAGGGATAGTCAAGTGTCCCAACCAGAGCAAGCAGAGGCTGTCCTTACAGACACAATAAACACCCTGAGAGGCAAAGAGCATGGGGTCAACAGTCACTTACTCACAAACAGTAGGGAAGGACAGCCCCACGAAGGCACTGGAGAGATACTCTGTGTACATTTCATTGGAGACTCCTTCCAGGTAGTATTTCTGCCACGTGTCTTCCTCAATCTAAGAAAAAAATGCACAGCAAGAGGGTTTAAAATATAGCCACAAACTGACAGAGGGGACCTGGACTGGCAGCCTTAAACATATAAATGCACTAGTGACACAATGACCTTCCTGGTGGATGATCTTCTCGGCAGCTGGGAGCAGACTCACAGAATCCCCATTACGCTTTCATGACCCCAAAGGTGTTGGTTCAGTAAATTTCCTTCAAAGCACTGCTTTGCTCTCAAAAAAAAAAAAAGTTTCATTGCATGTGTGTGTATGTTAGAGAGAGAGACTATGTGTGACTGTGTGTATGCGAGTCTTCCTGTGTCTGTATGAGAGTATGAATGTATGTGTGTGGGGGTAGGTACGCCAGAAGAGGATGTTGGATATTGCGGAGCTGGGGTCATCAGGCCTTTGTAAATACGCAGCTTGTTAGGTGAGTCCTGGATCTAAACCTGGGTCTTCATGACTCTGGCAAACACTCTGGCTAAGATACATCTCTAGCCCCTTGCTTTGCTTTGTACCCTCATGACTCTAAAGCTGTGGGGATCTAGGACCCAACCACAATCATAGTGGACAAGTCAGCAACTGACGCAAATTTCTGGAGAGCGATTTTGCAGGTGTTTTCACAATTCCTGAAACCATAGACTTCTATGCCGGGCTTCCATTTCATACACCCACAATAAAGTATTTAAATAGGCAAGACAAAGTCATGGAGTTGTGGGTTTGTGCCACTCTTGAAACATGTTTCTATATCATAATCACATACATATACATTTTATTCATGAAAAATTACAAATAAAGCAGGTAACGTGAAATTTTAAAAAGCAATGAGGAATCCTGATGAAATTTCTATATTCTTGTGTGTGTGTGCATGTGTGTGTGTGTGTGCATGTGTGTGTGCGTGTGTATGTGTGTGTGTGTGTGTGTGCATGAGTAAATGCCACGTGAATGTGGGTACCAATGGAGGCCAGAAGGAGGCATCAGATCTTCTGGAGTTATGGGTGGTTGTAAGCCACCCAATGTGGGTACTGGAAACTGAACTCAAGTCCCCTGGGAGGGCAGCAAGTACTCTTAATCATTGAGTCATCTACCCCATCCTTTGATTTTTATCGTTGAAAGTTCTCTCTGGTTTTATATTATAGGGGCATATGAAAATGTCTACAATGTTTATAGCAGAACAGTAGCAATTATCTCTGAGTGGTAGAATACTAATTTTTAAGATAGATTAATGTACTGTCTAAAGACTTTTACACAAGCATACACAGACATATGTATATGCACTATAGTCTATATATTCCTACTTTGGAAAAAAGATGTTTCAAGGGGGTCATGCCCAAAACTTCTTTTATTTTCTATAATAAGGTCTAGCTGGGTTTCCCAACAACCGTCTCCAACAAGGTGTTTTCATAGGAGTTGATATTTGAAAACTAATAAATTAATAAATTGAACCACTCTGGGAGCTGAAGAATCAATCTCAGTGGCTTCCTTGGCTGGCTTTGGGCTGCACCTTCCTGTAATGGCTCAAGTTACAGGACGGCAACAGGAAGTTGTTCCATCCACAATGTAGCTCTTTCAAATGGGTGTCCTGTTCTTGTGCTGTGAGGAGTGCTGGCCATGGCTCATCAGTCAGTTAACAGAGAGAAATACGGCACTGAGATCTGAAGAAGAAATGAGAGCCTGGGAAAGATCAGCGGCTTCAACTACGTGGTTATGCCCTGGCAGCCAAAATTCAGAATGAAAATTCGAGAAGTAAATGAAATGCTCCCTGTTTCCATGCTTCTTATCTGCTTCATGCTCAGCTTGAGCAATTAGGCTGAAAGTTAACCTGCTTGGAAGGAGCTCCTGTACGACTGATCCTGTACATCTGTTCCTGTACGTCTGCTCTTGTACGTCTGCTCCTGTACGTCTGCTCCTGTACGTCTGCTCCTATACGTCTTCTCCAGTACATCTGCTCCCGTACGTGTCTGCTCCTGTACGTCTGCTCCTGTACGTCTGCTCCTGTACGTGTCTGCTCCTGTACGTCTGCTCCCGTACGTCTGCTCCCGTACGTCTGCTCCCGTATGTCTGCTCCTGTACGTGTCTGCTCCTGTACGTCTGCTCCCGTACGTCTGCTCCCGTACGTCTGCTCCTGTACGTCTGCTCCCATACGTGTCTTCTCCTGTATGTCTGCTCCCGTACGTGTCTGCTCCTGTACGTCTGCTCCTGTACGTGTCTGCTCCTGTACGTCTTCTCCTGTACGTGTCTGCTCCCATACGTGTCTGCTCCCGTACGTCTGCTCCTGTACGTCTGCTCCTATACGTCTTCTCCTGTACGTCGGCTCCTGTGCGTTGGGTGTCCTGTATGCCCCAGTGCCGTGGGCTATTGGCTAATTATCTATACACAGGTCTTCCCCAGTGTGGAGGGGGTTAAAAAAGGGTGCCAACCAACAAAAGGTGTTGTTAAATACTATAATTTTTTTAAAAAAAAATAACCATAATATGTTCAGCTAAGCATGAATATTTTTAATTTCTCCAAATCTAAGTTCTTAATAATTTTCTTCAAATAAGATATTTAGTAACTCTAAGTGAAGTTTAGTATGCCTTAGTAAACATATCATAATATAGAATGTTTAGGTAACAATATTGCCATAATTCATTTAATGATACAAAGGATACCATATGAACTATAGTTAATTATAAAACTTTAAGTAGGGCTTTGTGGGAAAGTCGTTTGCCTAAAGTATAAGAGTCCTGTGTATTTTTTTTTCCTGTGTATTTTTGAACAGTCTTTTCAATTAGATCATTTTTGTTATTTAATATTCTTTATCAGTCCTTCGACAATGTCATACAATGTATGTTTATCTTAATCAACCTCTCCTAGAAGTCTTACCAGATTCCCCCAACCTCATATATCCAACCTATCCACATAACTTTCTGTTCTCTCTCTCTCTCATCTTTTAACTCATCAAGTCAATTTGCACTCCCCATATATACTTGGATGTGTGTTCATCTCCTGGAGTATGGTTGATCTTTCAGGAGACACACCCTTGATGAAAACTGATGCTCCTCTCCCAACAGCTATCAGTTGTCAGTAGCTCCTCAGCCCGGGATGAGACTTCATGCCCACTTCCTATCTTCATGTTCAGTTCTTTTATAATATTCCAGACACTTTTTTAATTTAAATATTACAAATGATTTTTTAAAATACTGACAATTTAAACCTTAACTTAAAGTTACTGTTATTCTTCAATTAGTATGGTTTTAATATTGATTGCTTAATGATGGTCATTATTTTTATGCCTCTGAGTATAAGGAATTAACATTTTAGAACAAATTTTATTGTAGGTTAATCAATACATTTGGTAAATAAGTAGAAATATTCTTTATTGAATAGCAATATTGTTCATGCTTTTGTTAAATTTAACAAAAGTATTTCATTGATTCATTCACTCAGTAAATAGTTACTGAAATGTTCTGTATTGAAGGACTTATTCTAGCGGCTGATTAAATCTTACTTTAAACTGGTGTTTGCTTTCCCACATTTTCTCCTTGTGTTGGCCTGACTAGGATATGAGTGACCATCCTACTAGACACATCTGACTTCCTTTGATTTTCCAGATTTCTTTTCCCAAAACTTTGTTTCTGTGGCTAGTCTGAAATTGTTGTAGACTGAAAGTCAAACATCTAGGGAAAAATGTTCAAACCATCCTATCAATCAAAATCCTTCTTCCACATCTCTAGGTAAATTCTCAGATGGTACCCAAAAGGCTCAACACAGTAGCATCAAATCAACTGTACAAATGCTAGGGAGTTTAAGATGCATTGCCCTAACTCTATAAGACCTGTACATCTTTAGAACTATTTGTGCATGCACAGCCTACAATGTTCTTAAGATTTCTAATTAAGGCATCGCATCACACACACACACACACACACACACACACACACACACAAAACTGCTAATTTAATTATACTAACATCTTTTCAAAAGACATGTAGTTAGTAGGGATGTAAACTGGTACAGGCATTGTGGGAAACAGTGGAGTAGTTATTGAATTCAAAATATAATTGGTACACAATCTGAAATTCCGCTCCTAATACCTAACTAGAGAAAATGGAAAGGGGTCATGATTGTACTACTTATGATAGCTCAGAGTTGGGACCCAAGCGTCCATGGAAGGACGTACAAACCCTTACAGCCACACTGGTTAGGCTTCTCAAGAAGGGAAACTTTGGCATATGCTACAGTATGGCGAAACGCTGGCAACATGATGCTAAGCAAAAAATACCACAATCACAAAAAACAAAAATTTGGAAGTGGGTCATTTGGTTACTTGAGGTCCATGCACAATATCCATAGAAGCAGAGAGTGCAAAGGCAGCCACAGAAGTTAGGGTCAGTGATTGTTTTCAGGGTATGGTGTGTCAAGTTTGCAAGATGAGAAAAATTCTGAAAATGGGTGGTGGTAGTGGCTACACAGCCATGCAAATGTACTTCATGCCAATGAGATATACACTTAAAACTGTCTACAGTGCTTAGTTTTATGGCAATTAAAAAAATTAAAGCCCTCATGATTATAACTGATGCTACTTTAATGCCTAAACACAAGGATGTTAAAACACAATAAAGAAAGAATGTGAGTCAGGGTTAGGAACTAGCCTTGATGTCACCAGGATCTTGCTCTGGCCCCTGACTCCTCAGGCCTTGCAACCTCCATTGAAAGAATTCAGAGAAGACCCGGCTCACTGTGCGGAGGACAGGCAGAGTTTATTACAGAGCGTTCTCAAGAGCTGAGGAAAGCCAATGGCCAAGAGCTGAGGGCAAACAGAACACAGAGTAAGTCTGTAGCCTTGTCTTTTTCCAGAATGCCTCCACTGGCTAGACAATAATATTATGAGCTTGATGACAGTTTAGAACACCATGTCACCAAGGACCAAAAAATTAAACTCAGATCCGATGTTTTACTATTTGAGATATCCAAGCCTATCTTGAGTATGCTATGAAAGCAAGGATGGCCTTGAATTCAGACATCTGCCC